TCAAGTTTAACATGTACCACCGGTGGTACACATGGCACGGAACGTGTTAACAATATGTTCGTATACAAATCAACGTTGTCAAAATATACCTAGTGGAACCAATCGATGCACGCGTCAGTAGCAACAAACGTCGTTGAAGAATCGCTACTTCAACCCTTCCGAACTGAAATCGACGTGAAATCCATAGAACAGAGGAAACGCGACTTCTTTAGAGAAATCTGCGACGCAGCGCGTCAATGTCCTCGGTGGCGGGCGATCGTAAATCGGGGATCCCGTCAGGGAAGAGGGAGAGGCTCGCGGTGAACCGCGCGGTTTCGAGACGGCGGTAACGAAGGGCGAAGAAGGGAGAGGAAGGCATTTTCAGAGGGACGTCGACGCGCGTGCAGGTGGTGGTCAATGCGTGTCTAAGGTACGTAGCCATGGATCGGGGCCGGGGCGAAGACGAATCCATTAGCCGTGAGCGCGGATTGAGCAATAAACCAACTGGGAGGCAAGTCGGCTCCAGCCTCATCCCCGCGTCAGCAGCAGATAGAGAAGGGGGATGGACGATGCGTTTCTCCTCGTTGCGCCGACGCAAGCTTTCGGTTCGCCTGTTATTCCTGTTGGGCCCGCATTCCCATACAAGATGTCGCGCCGATAAAAGTCCCCGAAGAGGCCTCGTGGTAGGGCCCACCCCGGGCAATTCATTTGAACATTCCCGGAGGTGGTCGCACGACAAATTACTCTCACGAAACCTTCGCGCGACAGCCAAAAGCTCCGTCGATCCTCGTGGCTCCTATCTCCATTCAGGGATCTCCCACTTTCCGTCTCCGTCGTCCGTCTTCCTCTCCCTCCGTCTGTTCGCTTCCTCGTCTAACCTTTCTCTTCTTCTTCTTCTTCTTCTTCTTTTTTTTCTCTCTCTTTCATTCTCCTTTTCTCTCCTCATCTCGCCCGTTCGACGTTTTCCCCTCCGCTGCGACCGCAACCGCGAGACATAAAACCTGGTGACACTTCTCACCCTTCTTAAGGAGCACCTCCGAGGCACGAGCTGGCAACAACACCCGGGAGAGGCAAGCCTGCCTTTCAGGATCTTATCGCTTTACGAGGCTTGGACGTGCAGTCGCGACGCCCGCGTTCATGGAAGCTTCGATCGTCGGAAGGATTCTGCGAACTTTCGCCGTTTGATGAATGCGGATAATCGCCACTCGATCTCATATTTAAAAAGAAGAAAGGATAGATTCTGCATCGTTTTAACCATAGACCTGAATAATTTCATTAGCAACGGTTTGTAAATAAATGTCGACTTTCATTGTTGAAAGGATGCTACAAACTTGTGAACACCGTTGACCGAAAACTTGAAATATCAATCAGTTTGTTCGTATTTGAGAAATAAGTACATACAGACATAAGTAAAATAAATCCTCCATCGTTTTTCAATTATACATACATACAATTTGATTAACTACAGTTTATAAATAAACATCAGCTTCGATTGTTAGAGAGATTCTGTGGACGACTGGCAAACTTTTGGGAACTGTGGATTGTCATAGTTCGTGGAAATGTAGGTAGTGTTCACTGTCATTTGAAAGATTGGAGCACCTATCGATTTCACATTAAAGAAATTAACATACACATAAATCTTGTCTCGTTGTAACTATAAATGTTTGTGCTATTTCATATTTTTACGAACATACTCGAAGAAATGGAATCTAAATGCTTTATTTCATCTACTGGATATCATAACAAGTGCTTTACTAGACAATTTGTATATTTTTTTACATATGAGAATTTTCTGTAGATACTCTATATATATTAAAAAAACATATATTTTATAAACAATTCGATAAATATTTCAATAATAATAAAAAATTTATATTTTCTTTTCATTTTTGCTTGTTGCGTCTAAAAGTCTCCTTTTTCGTTTATTTGCAGTTGTCAAAAAATATGACAGAATGATTTCTATGACTAACAATGAGCATCATACTAGTATTATTTAATTTTTCGTTCGCGTTAAATAAATAAATATTTACCTACTTGAGAAACTTGGATAAGTTTCGTTTTATTTATTATTAGAACACTTTATATATCTATATGTAATCGTTTAATAATAATAATAATATACGTTAGATATATATCACAGATTCTATAAAAATGTCCACACATTTTTGAGCGATTGTACGATCAACTCAACCAACTTATCACAAACATAACTAATCTCCAAACGATCAAATCAGATCCTTTATTGGAAAAATCTAATTCACTTTTTCGTTCATTCAGTTTAAATATATTACTAGAATACTTTATACATATATACTTCTATTATATTTAAGTACATATACACGATTTTAATCATCGTCCATTCCAACTTAATTTATCACCACAAATTGAAATCATCAAAATCAATAGTTAAATTCGCAAGTTCTTCTATTGATGGTAAATATTGGTAAAATAAAATTAACAGTAAATAAACTAAATTTCTATTCAATTGTGTACAACCTGTATGGATCTTTAATTTTATATCGCGATCTTAAACATTTTATAGAAAAAAATGTATTTCATTAGAAAAACAAACACACACACGAGGGTTAATAATAATAACATTATAAGCACATCACAGATTCCATAAAAATTCCAAGTGTTGGCATATTTTTTTGAGCGACAATGTTGCACCAACCAACGTCCTCATTCGCGCATTTCTCTCAAGCCCAGACATACTTCAAAGACAAGACAAGACAAAACAAGACAAGACAAGACAATATTTGGTCGTTGAGAAAATTAGCCCAAAGATCGCTCAGACAAATGTGAAACTGGAGCATGTCGTCTGGCATAATAGATCGATATCTGACGATATTCTTTTCCGGCAGAAAGCCCCTCGTTCGAAGAGGGATCGTCTCACGTTGAGAACAGGGACGTTCACTCTCATATACAGGCGACACGGCAGGGACGTCCAAGGGTACGCGGTGCCAGTGCCCGTGGGATACAGACAGCTTCCGGAAGCGTGGAGATCCACCGAGCGAGATTGCACGGGGCGTCTTCCTCTCCGTTAGACGAGGCGCATCCCCTCGTAAATAAAGTGCCGAGATCCACGAAAGGCGAACGGGGACCGCAGGGTGGCTAATATATCTCACGACTCGGTTAATTGACCCAGCGAAGGCTCTCGCATGCTTCCACTCGTGTATCCAATTCGTCTTGACACCTCCGATTCTTTTTTGGGATTCTTTCCTATAGTCTAGGGATGCCGGCCCCAGGAATGCGATCTCTCCCTTCGCGTTATGCGTGAAATCGAACCGGTCGACCTGATCGCACGACACGAGCAAACATGCGAAATTCCACGTGCGGATATAAAAATTACGGTAGCTACGGTACAGCATCAGAAAGTTAGTTTTTCGACGAAGATTTCGTTTTTGTGCATCTCTGTGTGTTTTGATACTTTTTTTGCGAATGTAATTGAAGCAACGTAACAGTAGTAATGCTGTAACTGAAGTAATGTAAGCTATATTAAATATTTAGTAATAATTATTTAGTAATTATATATTTATAATACTAGTACTATACTAGTTCAATTTGTCATTTGTTAGGATAATTTAATATTATTATATTTTCTACTCGTCATATCTAATTCATTATTGATAACTTTTATTCTGTTCACGTTAATAATATTTAATAATAATAATTATAATAATTATATACCTGCAGTAATAGTATTATAATTATATTATTGTACTAAATTCATACTGCATAGATAAATTGTAGTATTAAAATTACATTACATACATTATATTGTATATAATTATACAATATATTAATATATTAACAGGATTTAACAAGTTTTGTCTTTATTTAATTGTAGTGTACTATATTTATTATAAATATAATAATTTATATTGTACATCGCGTATTGTATATAATTTATATTTATTATATTATTTTTATATATAATATATCAATAGAGCCTTAATTATACTGTACGTATTCGTCAACTATAAAATATCAAAATATAATTGTGATGAAAAACTCGATTCAAAGTTCGACACATTCGTACTCTGCATTCTCGAAAATGAAGGGGAAAATTATATACATCACATCTTTCATTCGTTTTCACAGGTAGAATAATCTCCTGTCGTTAATCACACGTGTGCCAAGAATTATTAAAGAATTAGCGAAATTCAAGTGCAAATTTGATTTCCCTCGAAAACGACAAGATTTCATTCCCTGTCTCTATCTGTACAAAAGTTCCAAAAATCGATGCAACGTGATCAATTTCGAAGAGGAAGAGGGGAAAACCATTGAACTTTTGATTCGACAATGTCGGCGATTTCAAGTGGCGATATGCACTGGCCCCGTGTAGATACCTGAAAGGATACGATTGTACGCGACGTGTTACACAGGCGGATTGGCGTACGTGGGTGCGCCAAGACGTTAATTACGAGAGGGGTACGACGACGTCGTACTGTCGAGCAGCACGAAGAAGACGACACCACGAGAGCCGCCTCTGGCGATGCGAGTTTCTGTCGCCGGTGTCGCGAACCAGCCGGTGCTGGGACTCCTTCCCCAGACACCCGTTATTATCTCGCATATATATCGCCGTGTGCGCGCCGGGAATGGGCGAAATAGTATTTCGAGATATCAGGTTGTTACGAACCTGAAGCCCCGGTTGGCCCCTTTTCCCTCTTACAAATTAGAAATCGTACGCTCCCCGCCGGATGACACGAGCATCGGTGTTGTCCGAGAGTGAGAGAGTGTGCTTTACAATCGTGAATTTCGAGGTTGGTACTTTGGGTTTTAACTCTCGAGCAGTACGATAGAGTTCACGTTGTTATTATTAAATTTATGGAGTTAGAAGAGAATTTATCAAATTAAATGAACGATTGTTCAAAATTGTACTGTTGGATTGTCAGCCTCACACGTTGGAAAAGTGAAATATTTCTCATGTTGCAGAACTATCTATAATGTTAAATAATTTAATACTTCTTTCTGGTAGTTTCATTATTATTACGTAAAATAATGTATTGTTATTCATTTAATATAATATAAGTAAAATATTCAATTCTTCTGACTCATTACGATAAATTTGTTCATAATTATAAAACAAAGAAAGTGTAAATTAATCAAAGAACAATTGAATTTTGAACGATTGTTCGCTTTTGACTTATTTTTAGAAAAATCTCAGTTAGTTCACGTATGAAATTCACTGTTTTGTCAATTTTAAATAAAACACAATAAAACTCAAATTTACTCAGGAAGAATGTTTGCACATTCCAATAGTACAATTAAGGTAACTTGTGCAATTTGGGTACTTGATTTTATTTTGTGTTTTAAATTCCTCGTGACGGAAATTACTAACAGTAAGTAGACTGCATTATGCATTTAAGTTTCCAGGAATCTTCCAAAAATTAAGATTCAAAAAACTTCGAAGGGAACTGCACAGCAATTACACAGTTTTACATGCAAATTTATATGAAATATTCAAAGTATACACGGTAGATGAAATAAATTTCTAAATGATTTATGAACTACTAAAATTCAATTGAACAAAGAATTCTAAAACTGATAATAAGTAACGATATTTCTTATAATCTCATAATATCCACAGCTGAAAGTTAAAGTTAAATATTTTTTACTTCTGATTCTCGCAAGAAAGATTTTCGTGAAATTTGACCCAGTGTTGTGAAATACAATTGAAATATGACAAATTAATAAGAAACTCTGAAGTGCCAAATAACAAAGATAATATGGCCAAAATATGGTAATTTTCGCGATGTCTGACATGTGAACTAATCTTTTCTGTGAATTTACATAAAAATCAGTCCACTGATAGACACAATTCGCAAACGCGTGCACGCGCGTAGGCGTGATATCGTTATTTGCAGTATTCCCTTAGCGCGCGGCTAAACGAACGAAGTTCTAGCGCTGAGACAACGATAAAATTCCCCGCGCGGCCCACACGGTATCATCCACCTACCCTCGACGAATAAAGGCCGGACGAATAAAGCAGCCAACTTAATCATTCAAATTTCCGTTCCACGACGCTCGTTACTTCGTCCGAAACGTCAGTCGCTTCGCGTACGAGCGTACGAACGAGCCGGCCAGGCTAGGGATCAGGCGAATCCAGCACGGGGTCGGAGCCGGTCGCTGTTGCGGAGCAGATTGCAGCAGCGTGCTCGCCGGCCACGTATCCCGGCGCGGAACAATTCGCCATTAAGATAAAATCCCGGCAAAATGGCTGGTGGAAACGCGCGCTCCTCCAAGTGCCTATTCCCGCTATTCGAGCTTAGGCGCCTCG